ATAAAAAGCCAGAATTTTTCTCGGGAAACCCACAGCCATTCCCACGACAACCTGCAATGTTTCGGCCGAGTGATGATTATGACAGATGGGAGTTTCAGGTCTCGCTCTACCTTAGGAACATCGACCCGGAAAAGCACGGACCATAGTTGTTGAGTTTCTTGAGCGAGGACGCCGCAAAAATTGTGAGGAGCGCCGGGATAAACGCTAGAACGCCTGCATCGGACATTTACAGTATCCTGCGCCGACTCGGCGCATTCAGAGCCCCCTGCCGTCTGCAGGGAACGGTTGTTACGACGAAAACAACACAAGGGCGANNNNCGAAAGAGAAGTTGTTTGTTGTGATCGATTTCGTATGGGGCTTTCAGACGACCAGCTGCGGATTAAATGTATGTACAAACCCGCCGTCAATCTACGTGAAGCCCTTGAGAAGGCTCGCAGAAGAGAGCAAATGTCGCGAACGAATCAACAAGAGGAGTCGGCGACTTGCGCGGCAGTACAAAGAAACCCAGCGGAACCCAACACGTCTCATCCAATCGAGAGTACTAGTTCCCGGTCGTGGTGCCCCTATTGTGCACGATTCGGTCGACGGGCCCAACACTGTGGACACAACCCTCCAACGTACCCGCGTGATCAGAAAGGTAGGTCCCTAGCCTTTGATTGCAAAATTGTTTCTGTTGCTACTGAATCAGAATCAAATGCAACCCCATTTTCCTCAAAAGGTCGATTAGAAGGCACCCCAGTATCCTTCTTGATTGATACTGGAGCTTCATGCTCCTCGGTCGGCGAATACTTAGTCAAACCCACCCGTACTGCCGATGCGAGACAATCGATCGTCACTGCTGTCAACGGTTCCAAAGTGCTCATCAAGGGTAGATCACAGCTGAAAGTGAGTCTATCAAGGTTCGAAGTCACCCACCTCTTCTTGGTGTGTCATGGTCTTCGATGGGAGCCATCTTGGGGATGGACCTTTTGCGGAAATATTGTGACACGATTACAATCTTGAATACCTCCCTGAAGTTCCGGATACCAGGTGGAGTCCCAGAACAGAAACGTTACAGCACAACATATCCTGAGTGCTCGGGGGTCCAGGTGCAAAACAGGACAAAACAAGTTGGCCTAGTTCATAAGAGTGTAGAAGAGCTTCAAAGAATGTCTGCGGACATTTAATACATCAACAGGCGTTCCCAGTCGTACTCATGTGATTCAGCACGAAATTGATACCGGAACCAGTAAACCCATTCGTCAGCGTGCACGGCGCTTACCAGTTCACTATGTGTCACAGCTGGACGAAATGATTCAGGATATGTTACGAAAGAAAGTCATCCGGCCATCAACATCAACCTGGTTGTCCCCTATCGTGTTGGTAAAGAAGACTGATGGTATCTTAAGGCTGTGTGTCGACTACCGTAAGTTAAATGAAGTGACCCGGAAAGATTCATTCCCTCTCCCGCGCATTGACGCCACGTTTGATGCTTTGTTTGGTGCCAAGTGGTTCTCAACGCTGGACTTGGCAATCGGCTACTGGCAGGTGGAGATTAAACCATCCGATCGCGAAAAAACCGCATTTGTCATACCTTCCGGTTTGTACGAGTTCGAAACTATGTCTTTTGGTCTGGTTAATGCACCGGCAACTTTCCAACGGTTGATCAACACGGTTTTGAAGGACTTAGTACCCGAAAGGTGCCTCATCTATTTGGATGATATTATAGTCCATGGCAGGTTCATAGAGGAGCACAACGATAGACTGAAAGAAGTATTTCAGAGGTTGAGATGAGCAGGATTACGGCTGAAGTTCTCAAAATGCCACTTCCTTTGTCGTGAGGTCAAATTTTTGGGTCACGTAATCACTCCGGATGGAATCAAAACGGATCCCACTAAGTGTGACCGTATCAAAGCTTGGCCTCGTCCTACCTCGGCAGAACAGTCGAGAGCCTTCTTGGGGCTAGCTTCCTACTACCGAAGATTCATTAAATATTTCGCCTCAATTGCAGCCCCTTTGCATCGACTCACCACCAAGGGTCTTACTTTTGTTTGTTCAGCAGTGTGATCGTGCTTTTGCACAATTAAAGGTTAGGTTGACCTCCCCTCCTATACAAGCACTTCCTGATGTCTCCCGCAATGGGCGCACTTTTGTAATGGACACAGATGCTAGCGAGAACGCCATTGGAGCAGTTTTATCCCAAGAGTCTCGACGGGGGTGAAGTTGTCGTCGCTTACGCAAGTCGCGCGCTGGATTCGTCAGAGAGCAAGTATAGCACCACCAGGAAAGAACTGCTATCCCTAGTATATTTTATCAACTACTTTCGAGCATACCTTCCGGGCAAGCCATTTAAAGTTAGGACGGATCACCACTCACTGCAGTGGCTGAAGAACTTCAAAAACCCCGAGGGTCAGGTTGCGAGGTGGCAGGAAAAGCTGCAAGAATATGAATTCACCTGTGAGCACCAACCTGGATTGCGCCACTCTA